TTCACATCTAAAAATAGCGCATAAATAAGCAACACATAATTTCTCAAAAAATTCTTGCTTAAGGTTTGAAAGGCGATCACCTAATTAAAGAATCAAAGTTTCTTTTCCTCCTACAATCACGATCCTTTGATTAAAACAGATAGGAATCATATATGCATATCATGTAGGATGTATCCTTGCGGGCATATATCAGGAAATATTTCCCTATTAGAACCAAGATAATAAAATTGTCAAATTGCTCGAACTAAAATATCTTCAAGTTGTTAGAACCAGATATAATAATAACTTTAACTCGTTCATTGTAACTAGAGATAAAACATATCTTCAGTTGGTGGACCAGAACATATGCAAAATTGTTAAACAACAATAATAATCTTCTTGTGGGTAGAGGCACGTAAATACACTGTTTGAAGATAGTTGAAGTTTCTTCCACGAGCAAATGAAAAAAAAATGACAATACCATCTCTGTGTTCAGCTAAGACTCAACAAGGTAGCATTCAAGTCTTGGTGTTCAACTAAGACTCAACAAGGTAGCATTCAAGAACGTTGATCTTATATTCTTGAATCTAGGATTTCACCTTCTAACCAATGTCTTTCTTTTGTTTTCAGAATAAGGAACATGCTTGTCTGTGTTGTTTGTACTTATATTTTCCGAATGAAAGAACCTCTACTTATACACAAAGAATTTCTAGAAAAATGTAAACAAAGTTAAATAGAGTTCATGAATAAATTCATGATTTTTAGAATACCCAAAATATATTTGCAAAATCAAGAATGTATCTTAGGAGTTCAAGATTGAACTTAGAAAGTTTTCTAAATTCATTTCTCAAGATTGATTCACTGCGGAAAACTAAGTCTTCCGGAAAAAAATTATTGTTCCAAATTTATTGAAACACTTATTTCCAACAATCCTCTACTTGTTTAAGAAACTTTGAAGGTTTGAGACAATTGATTTAGTTACACGCATCAATAGTGGTATCTTCCGGACTTGAACCATTAGCTAGTGAAAGCATTCTAAATCATTGAACTGCTAGTGAATGAATCTTGAATTGCTAGTGAATGAATCTTGAACAAAGGAGTTCATTGTATGAAGTAGAATGCACATTACTATTTTCCTGTGAAAATCGAGAAACTTTGTCACCTTACACCCATGTGCTCTGAATCCTTTTATCTAAGTGCTAAAATTTTGCCTTTCTAAATCTTATCGAAGCAGCCTGCACTATGCACTTAGACCGGTGAATTGATCAAGAGTAACTTTGCATACTCGGACCAAAATAGTCTATCAATTCACTAAGAGATATTAGTCTCAAACTCCTTTACAACAAAGTGTTGATAAATCTATCAAGAGTGTTCCTACTAACTACAGTCGAAATTGGTCCAAGATTTATTAAGAGAATAGAATATTATCCTCCTTTTCAAGAGAAATATGCACATCCATTACATCTTTTCAAATAATGGGAATTTTATTGATGTGCTCAAGACATCTCAACGAATGTAACTTTACTTGCTTGTCCTTTTGAACCTAAGAAAGTATCATTAGGTAGGGTTTTCATAAAGTACAGTAAATTTACAACAAGTTTTATTCTCATCCCTTTACAAGTTTTCACCGACTCTTTGCCTAATCCTTTAGACAAAGGAGCTGCTAAATTAAACCTGGATATAATATATTCAACGGATAATACATTATCCTCCCATAATCTTCTCATGTTATTACGTTTGGGACAAACTTGTCTCAATTTGTCATTGTAACATCACTTAAAGCCCGAAATATACCACATTTATCATCACAATAGATAGTCAAAGGTGGCACTGGCTTACTCCATAGAGGAATATCTATTAAAATACTTCTAAGCCAATCGGCTACTTCTCCAACAGAAGACGTAGCTATAAATTTTGCTTTTGTTGTTGAGTGAGTAATACATATTTGCTTCTTTGATTTCCAAGCAATTGTTGTTTCAGCTAAAGTGTCCAAGCAATAATTGACTTAGTGGGCGTTTGGACATAAGAATTGTAAAATTCTAAAACAGGGTGAACACATTTTTCAAGTGAAAATGGTATTTGAAATTTAGAGTTGTGTTTGGACATAAATATAATTTTGGGTTGTTTGAAGTTTTGTCAGTAATTTGAGTGAAAATTTTGAAAAAAAAAACTTTTTGTAGGTTTTCAAATTTTCGAAAATTTCCAAAATGCATCTTCAAGTGAAAATTGAAAATTTTACAAACAAATGTTGATTTCGAAAAACAAGTGAAATTTTTTTGGAAAAAAAAAGGGAACAAATTTCTTATGTCCAAACGTGCTCTTAGAGTCGCAGAATTCCGAGTCACATCACTATACCCTTCAAGAACGGTCGGAAAGGGAGAGTAATGCATTCCAACATTAATTGTATTCTTTTGAATACCTTAAAATACGGCTTAAGGCATTCCAATGTTCAACTCTGGGGTGACTAGTAAACTTGCTCAATGTCCATACTGCATAAACAATATCAGGTCTTGTACAATGCATTGCATATATAAGACCAACAATCCGAAAATTAAGTCAGCTAATCTACAGCACCACTGGAATTTCGTGCTAATTTGATGCTAGGATCAGATGGTGTAGGAGCAAGCTAGTATCAAAATAACCAAACTTTTTAAGACTCTCAATACAGTTGGCTTCAATAAGAATCAAACCAGTACAAATCTTACAATTTTAATGGCCAAAATCACATTAGCTTCTCCAAGATCTTTTATTTCAAAATGAGAAGAGAGAAATAATTTAGTTTCCTTGACTCTTTCAATATCAGTTGCAAAGTACAACATGTCATGTCATCTACACAGTGACAAATCAGAACACCAGAATTTTCTTGAGATTTACTGCAAGCATGAACTTGAAGTTACATCAAATGGATATAAAAACCCACTTCTCAATGGACAGCTAGATGAACAACAAACACAACAACAACAACAACAACAACAACAAAAAATCTAGTGTAATCCACAAGTGGGATCTAGGGAGGGTAGTGTGTAAACTTACCCCTACCTTCAAGAAGATAGAGAGGCTGTTTTCGGTAGACCCTCGGCTTAGGGAAGGTAAATGGAAGGGAAACAACAAGCACACCAATCAGAAAAACGAAGTAAAAATACAAAACTAACACTAGGTATTGCAATCAGAAAGCCGAAACGAAAACAACAAGTAATAACAGAAGCCAAGGAATACGAAAATACACAAATGACACTAAGTCATGTACTAAAGCTATTGTTACAGACAAAAACAACGCTCGGCTACTTAACCCTTTACCTTTATTCTCAACTTCCATACCTTCCTATCCATGGTCATGTTCTCGATAAACTAGAGCAACGCCATATCTTGCATAATCAACTCTCCCCAATACTTCTTCGGGCTGCATCTACCTCTCCTTAGGCCTTCCATGGACAACCTCTCACACCTCCTCACCAGTGCATCTGTGTCTCTCCTCTTCAGATGCCCGAATCATCTAAGTCTCGAGTAACCATTAGATTTTATCCAAAATGTTCAAGAGTGCAACGTTCGCAAGCTCAAGAGGTCCATTTATGGATTAAAACAATCATTTAGGCATTTGTAGTTGAGATTTCATCAAGTTATTACAATCTTATTACTTTAATATGATCGATGAGGACCGCTGTGTGTATATGAAGCGGTCTGAAACCGATTACTTATTGCCACAAACTAGAAGTGAGTGCGATTGTATTCCGCATCCACTGACTAAAGGCTCCTGAATCCACCTCTGATTTCAACCACATATACTAGCAAAATTAACTAAACAGCGTGAACTCTAACAGTTAATAATGTACTAAACATGAAAATATACATTCTTGGAGTTTATCCCTCTAATCAAGAAATGTCTTCCATTTTCCGTCTATTTTTCACAACAAAGATCCAAAACTTATCAAATTTACAGTAATATACACTACAAAAAGAAGATACCAAGTTCTGATCTTTTAAGCATTAACTTCAGCTGTACAACATGAATTATTATGACTCAATACATGTACATTCATAAAGAGACGTAATGTGAAAGAAGATCAACCTGAAAGACAACGCGGGTCGACCCGAATTCTGGTTCAAATGCATAGGTACCGTTTGAAGCCAAGCAGAGAAGGGCTATGTAGGCAATGAAAATCGAGACCCTTTTGTCTCTACACATGTTTCTCTGAATAGGGGTTGGATTTTTCCAGTGTTTTCTGCTAGTAGATGTCAGAAATGGCGATCAACCTGTGAATTGTCAACTCCGGGTCCCGGGGCGGGTTACAGCTTTCTCAATGCTCGCATCTAATTTGTAGTCTAATAGTAGATACTTTTGAATTGTCATTTCCATTTATTTTTTACGCATAAAAAGCAGAAATTTATTTCTCTGCAAGGTTCGAATTGTATTATTCAAAATTGAGTAATTTTTCCTCGTTAAACTTGTGTTAGGAAAAGTTTTTTTTTTTTTTTTTTTTTTTTTTTTTTTTTTTTTTTTTTTTTTTTTTTTTTTTTTTTTTTTTTTTTTTTTTTTTTTTTTTTTTTTTTTTTTTTTTTTTTTTTTTTTTTTTTTTTTTTTTTTTTTTTTTTTTTTTTTTTTTTTTTTTTTTTTTTTTTTTTTACCTCTAATTGAGTTCCAGCGTGAAATTAGTGCACTTCACGAGTCCATCTATTCAGATTCTTTGAGATAAAAAAAATTATATTTACCCTTCAATCTTTTATCAAGATCTAAATTATCCTCGAGTTGGAGCTTTATTAGGGATCAAAGGCAAAAATAAGATTTTAACGTGTAAAATTATCCTTGGGTTAGAGGTTTGCTAGGGATCAAAGGCAAAAATAAGATTGGACCAAAAATTTAATACATGCTGAAGTTATACTCGATATTAAATAATACATAAGCAAATTTGGACTTCCAGTAGTAGAAAGGGTATAAGAGTTTCCTTTTATAATACAAATATATATGGTGATTGAATCATATTACAAGTATATTTAAAGTAGTTTATCTTGTAAGATGTATGAAGAAATAGAATGACTACTAGCTTGTATTCTAGCATGATCTCGCTATGAGTTTTGGCAAAAATCATCCTTGGACTAGATCATAAACCTAAAGTACATCCTTGTGATGTTTTAGCGAACAAAAAATATCCTTATACTATTTAAGCTATTGCAAAAATTATTCTTTCGTTAAGTTTTGTCAAGAAAACTAACGCCTAAGCAAAAGAGCATGCCAAGCACGTGGATTTTCCCCTAAATTTTTCAAAAATACCCTCCTGCCCAATTATCTTCCACCTTCACCAAAAAAGACTAAGGCTTTAAAAATAAAGTTTGTTTCCAAATGAACTTCAAAGAATTATCAAGGGCAAACTCTTGAGTAAAAAGAGAAGCAAGGGCTATTTTTTCACGCCGCACAAACAAGGTAAAGAATGATTTTTCAATTCTATTACGATTTTTGCTATTTCTCAGACTGAATTAGTTGGTTAATGTATTTGGCTTCTTACTGTAAGCCTTCTTTGTCACTTTAATTTGAAAGAGATTACTGCAAGTCTAAAGGACAATTAGAAGTAACCAAGTCCCTTACCTGTTTGTTGAAATGTCAGAAAGATTTTCTAATTTCATTTTTTTCCTCGTCTTGGTTTGAATAATCTAAATGCTGCCCCAAAAGAAAATATTGGAGAAGAAGATATTAGTTTAGAAGTTGTTCATCTAGAATTAGAATTGTTAGTTTCAGGAGTCTACATTAGATAACTATATTTTCTGCTGCAAAAGAAAATATTTTTCTTGCTACAAGTTTACATCAAAGACCATTTCATTCGTGGAGATATTTAAATTTCTTCTCTTTGTTGCAGCAACAGTGGAATAGACTAATGTAAGATCCTTCATGTGATTCAAAAAAACTCTCGAAAAAAGTGCTTGATCGCGAAGTACAATTTAAAGATCGTTGCAACAATGAGAAGCAAATTGGATGTCGTGGTTAAACAAGAGCAACGAATAGTCTTAAAATTCGAGAGAAAATTTGAGGCAAAATCTGATTGTATTATTCGTTTATTTGCAGTTTTATATTAAATTTATTATCTATGCACATGTTCAATAAAAAGTAGTGTTGCTACCTAAGAGTATCATTTTGTTTCTTCTGAACAAGTGCACTAAACCGCTAGTTCTTTATTTTGGTTAAGATGAAGCAGTGAGACGTTACAATAAAGTATTTATCAGTTAACTTTTCATCTTTGTTAATGCTTAAAACTAGTGAAAACCCAGCAACAAGGAACACCTTTAGACCATCATATTAGGACCAGCAAAAGTCAATAATGAGCAGGGAAAAACAACAAAAACAACAAAAAATTTCAGCAAAAATCAGTATTCACATACTGCAATACCATTGATTAATTAAAGATAAAAACTAGCTACATAACACCAATGCAGAAACCAATAGCTAATTAATAAGAAATAAAAAACTCCAAACACCAGAAAACGAATTAAAGACAAGAAAATATCAATATTTCTTCAATATAATAAGAAGGCAAAATTCTTCAAGAATTGTCATTTTGTTGAGATGATGAAAAGATGCAACTTTGTTGACTGACCAACGATGTACCTCTTCTAACCTGAAAGAACAAATTAAAACACTGAATATGAATCTCTTAATTTGTAAACTGTAATAAAAAAAATTGAAATAAATGTTTTTACCAGTAGCTTTTCAACATTATGAAAACTTGACGTTCTCTCAGACATAATGAAGTCCAAACTGCAAGGTAGTCTGGTGGATGAATTTCAATAGCATCTAAGAAAGAAGTGGAAGTTCTACTGTTGTGGACTGATTTTGGTCTCTTTTTTAACTTCGTCCTGCTGGCTCCTTGCTCATCATCTTCTTTCCTTCTTATTTTGAAAAATAGCAAAAATCGTAATAGAATTGGAGAATCTATAACTTTTTGACTATTGATTCTTTACCTTGTTTGTGAGGCTTGAAACAATAGCCCTTGCTTCTCTTTTTGCTCAGAAGTTTGCCCTAGATAATACTCTAAAGATCACATGGAAAGAAATTTTTATTTTTGAAGCCTTGTCTTTTATGGTGAAGGTGGAAGATGATCGGACGGGAGGGGCATTCTTGGAAACTTTAGGAGGAAACTCACGTGCTTGGTATGCTCTTTTGCTTAGCCGTTAGTCTTTTTGACAAAAATTATTGGAAGAATGATTTTTGCAATAACATAAATAGTACATGCATGTTTTTTTGTTACTAAGATGTCACAAGGATATACTTTAGATTTGCGCATAATTCAAGAATGATTTTTGCCAAAACTCATCTCGCTAGTACTAAATATTTATGAAACTTCCTTTTATCATTAAAGTTCCATTAGATATAACATTTAGAAAGACAAAAACTGCTCACATTAGATTAGACGCATGCACGAAATCACCAAATACATGACTATGTTATTTTTTAACGCGAAACTATATCAAGCAACCATGAATTAAGTAACATGGATTATACTCATTATAGTGTTAGAATTTTATAGTGGTACCACATACCGTTTCTTAAAAGAAAAAAGAAAAAATAATTTTTATATAGTAGATTAAAAATACCTAAAAATTCAAGAAAGGAAAAGGCAAAATACGTAAGTTACTCCCCAAGCTATGGACCAAATCCCTCACACACTTTTTGCGGACCAAAATTACTTTACACACTCAACCTTTCCGAAGTGTGTCTAAGACACCCCACTTTTGACCAGGTAAATTACACGCAAAACAGGTGCGTGAAGAGGTAAAAAATAAAAATCTGAAATTTTATTTGAACGTTGTAGATTCAAGCAAGTTGATCCAAAGGTCTAAATATTTTTTTTCTTTTTATCCTTTTTTTCTTTTTATCCTTTTTTTCTTTTACCATTATATACAAAACACAAAAAAGAAAAGAAAAAAGATTGCTAATGCTAAAACCTCCGTCCCCAACCTCCCTGCTCATTGGTCTTGTTCCCACTATATACGTCACCCAACCGCTCCAGTAGATCCAAGTAGGAATAAAAAAGAAATAATCTTTAGATTTAAAATCTCTACCCGTATTTTTCTCCATAGCCATGGAGTTATTAGTGAAACCCTTATCTTTTTCGTCTTTTATCAGTCGAAAATGGAGTTCTGCTTGAAACTCCGGCCAGTGAAATAGTTTAAATTCTGCTTCAAGTTGAAAAATTAAGAAGTTAATACAATTGGGTGCTTCATTTATATGAATATAGCAGTGGCAAAAGAGGAGAGTTAATGGGTTTTTTCTTGAAGCTTTTATCTGTCATGGCTGCTAAGATTTTAGAGGAAGAATCATTGCACACTTCCATTACAACTTAATTGGTGCAAAATCAATAATCCATTTCAGATATCAATCAAAGAAATTCTGGGTTTTTCTTAAAGAATGGGAGAAAGAAGGTATTTTATGAGGAAGTTTTCTGATTAATCGGAGAGGAAAGTGATGGACAAGGGGAGGAAACGGTTGGGGGGAAGGGGGGGGGATAAGAGACGAGTGGGTTTGGGTTTGTTTTCTGATTTCTTTTCTTGTTTAAAAATTAGTATCAATTGGGATGCAAATTATGCATTTTCTTTTTATACTTGAGTTATGACACGTGTCAAGATTTAATTAGCACATGTGATACAATCTCTGAGATAAAGTGGTCAAACATAAAAAAAGGTGTATCTTAGATATACTTTGGAAAGGTTAAGTGTGTAAGATAATTTTGGTCCACATGTAAGAGGAATTTGATACATAGGTCAGGTGGTAACTTATGTATTTTGCCAAAGGAAAACAAAAAAAGCAAAATGCATAAGTTATGCATTGGTTATTGGATATTTAACTAAACTTGACACGTATCTCATACGGATGATTTTTTTTTTCCATAACATAATTTATTTTTCTTTTATTCGGAGTCAGGCATCAATTATATGCAACACACGACAACAAAGCCCAAGTTGCATCTCATTTTCGCTATTATTTCGGTCAGTCCAACGCTTCTATATACTTGCAGCTTATTTTCCAACAATATCTATCAACTGCAAGCATCAAATACTAAGTACTGTAAATCAGACAATTGCTATAACTTGCCAGTAAAAAACGATTGGGAGCTGTTATGTATGATCTCGAATTTGATTCAAGTAAACCCCAACAATTCATTGTCTAGTTTAAACAAAGACAAAACTGCTCTTAAAACCAGGTCATCTGATTCAATCATAAATTTAGGCCAAAGCCTAACAAGTGCTAAACCAAACCAAAACATTTCTAACACGCGACAGTACATAAAAGTTGCAAAACATAAAACAAGAAAGTACTAAATAGGCGAAGTATAAGATCCAAATGCAAATAAACATAAGAGCTCATTCTTCATCTTCCTCGTCTCCGTCGCCACCAGATGCCTTCTTTGCAGCAGCCTTTTGGTTCTTTCTCTTCACTCTTCCAGGGCGCCCACCACCAAAAGGACTGATGAGAGAGAAGTCAATGTGCTTCTGGGAGTCCAGTCTCACCATAAAAGAAGGAACATTCACCACCTGCCTACCAACTCTGCATGACAAGATTATTAGGTCATGGCGTTATATCTGCCAGACAGATAAATGATACTAGCCCACAGTGAAAGAAATCTGAGAAAACCCAAAATGCGCAGACCAAGAGAAGTTGTTAATGTTCACAGCAGTACTAAACAACAGAACAAATAATACATAGACTACTACTTTGTATAAGGAACAGAGTACATGATATAAGAAGGAACACTCACAAATAATGCAATATATGACACAACCAACACTTTCTTCCTCTAGCTAAGGAAAAAAATCTACCAGCTGAAGTTTAATAACTACAAATTAGCTTCTACGAACACCTAGAAACACAAACCATTTTGAGATGCATCAACAAACTTACAGTGAGCGAATAAACAAGAGCTTCTCAAGAAAACAGTCTAGATATTTCAATCAGATTCCTTAATGTGGAAGCAAATATAACTCTAAAACAGATAATATATCCTTGTTGAGATACTATTCTGACAACTTCTCCTCAAAAATTCACTGCAAGAATATCGGATCACAGATTATTTGCATTGCATAGTGCTTCCAAATAAAGACCTCACTGTTAAAAGAAACAATCCTATGAAATGAGGCTCAGAAGCTTCATAAGAATTTTCATTCCATTGTTCTCTAAAGAAAAAGTCAAGTGTTCGGTAGAGCACTTGAAAAAAAAAAGCCAAGACCTCAACCAGCACCTTCGAGAAAAGCACATCTATAAAAATAATTATCACCCGAACATCATGTTTATATTAAAGTTCTTTAGCAAAAAAAATGTGAGATAAATGATTCTTTTATAAGGAATCTCAAAACAAAAAGTTCATCACAACAGTCCCTCAAAAGGTGTAATCAAAGGCTAGATCAGTTGCTAGATATTAAAATGTTGGACTATCAAACACTTTATAAATGCCACATATTATTGCACCATAGCAGGTAATTCTAAAAAAAATATTCGCTTAGCAGTCCCGCTACCATACAGTCAGACACAGGAAATATCAGGAAAAAACATATTAAGCCTACTTATTTGAACTTTGACACTAAAACTGGCAATAAATTTTTAGTGGCAATGAATTTTACCTGATATGCCTTTGCCTAATTAGTACTCTAGCATGGTGGATTGACTTAGCCATGCCAGTCTTGAAGACAAGAGTTTGAAGACGACGTTCAAGAAAGTTCTCCACAGTGAGAGACAAGACGTAATCGAGCTTGTTCTGGCTCTCATCCAATAACCCATATCTATTCATCCTCCTCAAGAGTGCTTCACCTTCAAAAATACGACGTGGGTCTTTCTCATCCAAAGTCAGAAGCATTCTTGCAGCATTCCTGATACGGCTCAAGGCATACTGAACTCTCCAAAGCTCCCTCTTGCACCTCAATCCATATTCTCCAACAAGCTTTAACTCGGCATCCAATCGCTCCTTCTCATATGGACGTCGAGGCTTCTTAAAGGTCTTTCCATCTGAGGTACACATCAAAGTAAAAATAAATAAACATATGCTAAAAATTTTAAGAGAAAATACAGATAGAAACAATGTTATGTATCATGAAAATCATTAAAAAGGAAGCGATGCATGATACTGGTTTTATTTTAAGTGCTTTTGTCAGCTGACGTTCCGACACAATTACCTAAAGCGTTAACATCAAAATAAAATTCAACTCTTCCAACATAAAGCAATTGGTACTAGCAAGAATATGACAGTACGGAAACAGGCTGACCCAAACAGAACTGAGTAATTATTAGGCAGTTTTCTATATTTTTTACATCCCTCTATTGACATAAAATTCTCTAAAATATCCCAGTAATTTATCAGCTGATCATGAAGAAATGATGTTCCAATACAACAGCACAAAGCATTAACATCGAAATAAAATATCAACTCTTCTAACATTATGCATCCATATTACCAAGTATATGATCATACAAAAAATAGTCATCAGTCCCAAAACGAGCTGGGTCGGCTATTCGAATAGCTTATATCTTTCTGCTCAATTTGGGAATGTTTCATTCCAATATTAAAACTAGAGATTCCCAAAATCTTTTACATCCCTCCAATGACATACAAATCTCTGAATAACACTGCGCCTAATACCAATAACAGCTACCAACTACTAATTTGTATCGCTTATCAGATTCTTTAGCTTCCTAACTTATAACCGATCGAATTTATCTACACCGTCAAAATGAACCCTACAATTGCCTAAATTCCTACTAATTATTAAAAAAATAAAGAAATCAACAGGACAAACACATGCAATCATGATTATTCAGAAATCATATATTAAATAAATAAAGAAATAACACGGCAAGCCGATAAAGAGAAAGAATACAAATTTGAAGACTTACAGTTACGATAAAAGGCGACGTGTACCATGTTTTCCGGTCACCGCCGCTGTCGTCGGCGATCTGCTGAAGGGAACGGGAGGGGGGAAATGGATGATCACAGACTAGGGTTTTCAGCTAGCACTTTATATTTCAACTCTAAACCCTAATGGGCTATAATGTCTCATAACTGATTGGGTTTAACGTCAGGCCCAATAGTTCTGTGTAGTGACCCAAATGACAGATTAGACTTTATCAACTCATTTTATTTTCTTTCATCTAAGAACTATTTTAATCTATGATTGTTTATTTATTTATTTTCCACTCGGTGTTTAGTATTGGGGCCTAAGTTAATTCGGGTTCGCAACGTGTAAGGTCCACTCAAGAGAAACACTTCTTAACATGAATTTTATAAAGCTCGAACCTGAAACTCTTAGTTAAGGATGAATGGATCTTATCTTTCCCCCAACAATTCTTGTGGAAATGACACTATGTAGCCACTTTTAAGTATACTGTTTGAAATATATTTACAGTTTATAATGTATTTAAAAATTAGTCAATTTTGTTAAAACTTCAAGGTGCGACATCTTAAAGTTAAACCTCAAAATTCAAACTTTAGGACATCGTGTCCTAAAGTTCGAAAATAGTGTCCTGGAGGAATTTTATGTCCTGAATTTTAAATTAGTAGTTCAAAAATTCAGGACACTTAGTCTTAAATATTAAATTAGCAGCTCAAAAATTCAGGACACCAAGTCCTAAAGCTTGAGTGAATTGACCAATTTCTAAATACATTGTAAGTCGTGGGTTTATTTTAAATAGGGGGCTTAAAAGTGGCTATTACTGCACTTCACCCACAATTATTGTTAGTTTTAAGTCTCAATTCAATCATGCGACCGAAATTTTAGATTTTGAGAACTTTTGTAGAAAAATTTTATGTGAATTTTTTTTTAAGAAAAAAATTTTGGTGTCTGATTGCGGAGTGAGAGTCATTTTTTAAAAAGAATTATTAAATATTAGTAATAATATTAACAAACGACTTAGCGATTAGTTATGCTGGGATTGTTGTTTATTCATTGTTTGGTATATTGTATTAAGAATGACAATTGCATAATTTCTAAAAAGAAGGTATAAGTTATACCGATGCTAATTATCCCACATTCTATAAAGTATAAGTTATCCAGAGTTAAAATTAATACCGGGATAACCTATACCTAATTTGCTAACCAAACAGAGTATTAAGGTGATATTAAATTTTTATACCACCCTTATACCTTCTGATACCTCGTACCAAACGACCCGTAGTGATTACATTAAAATAACTTGATAGTAATGTGTAAATGTTAGTTGGAGCAGTGACATAAACATAAGAAATAAGATAATTATAAAAGCACTTACGATGCCAGTTGCCACTACCATCCACTATTACCATTCACATCCACCATCAGTTTCCATCATAAAAGCACTATCAATAATATCATCTAGTGTTAGGGTTTTAAAAGCTAAAATTGTTAAGGACTTTGCAGTTATAGATTAGACTAGTCCTATCGATTTTATATGATACTATTATTATTCAAAAAATTAAATTTATTTTACTGCCACTATAAAATGAGAACAAATTGTTGCAATTTGATTTCTCGATTTTAAAGTCTGTATTTTAAATACTATACTTTGTGTGTGTATATAGTGTCCTAACTTCAACATTTATGTATATAAAATAAGAATCTTATCCTACACATTTGACTGGAAAAAGTTATATGGCTCGCACATAACAGCTTGTTTGGACGGTTGTCACGTGTCGTTTGATAATGTATCGTATCGTACTATATTTTATATTATACTGTATCGTTTGATAAATATAACATTTGAATAAATTATGTCCTTTGCCATCATTTCATAAATCATGCACATAAAAAAATTATGATACAGGGTAAAAATATTATATAAAAGGTATGGTAAATGATAAAATAAAATTATTTAATAATAATAAAGGGTGAGATTCAGAGAAAAATATAAGTTAAAAATATGATCACACCAAATCGATTGCTACATATCCAAACAAGCTTTAAATATCCAAATTGTAACATTATGTGCACAATTCCAAAAACTACGATAGCCAACCCCTAGAAACTAGATTTCCTAATGAACTCAATCCGCAAACTCCCACTGACCTTTCTCAAAAAACCCCTCATAAACCCCACCTTCTCCGCCGCCGTCCGCCGGCGATTGTCGACCAAAAGCGGCGACGACGAGTGGAACGACGCATGGGAATCCGCATGGCTTCCGGACGATCTCTCTGGCAAGAATCGAGCTCCATGGGAAGCCGATGTAAATTTTGCACTTCCCGATGATACTACCAATACTACCGAAAATACCCAAAATGTGCCTAGAGCTTCGGAAGTTGATGCCGAAACCAAAGCCTTTGTAGAGGACATGAATGAGAATTGGCACTTAAGAAAGGGGAAGCAACAGAAAAATAGTACTAATGATGATAATGAAAAGGGCATAATAAAGATGAATGAGAATGAGAGTTCGCTGTATAGTTTGGAGAATATAAAGAGGGATTATAGGTTGAAGAAGCAGAGAATACATGCGGGCTTGTGGTTGAAGGAGATTGATAAAATGGAAGAGGCTAAGCTTGGGGATTCTATTGGTGGCAATGCTGATGATATTGAAAAGCTTCTTGATAGCTGCTCAGAGTATGTTTTTGTTAAAAGTTACAATTTTTTTGGCCGTTATTTCTTTGATTTTATGTTTTTTTTTTGGGTATGAAATTGATAAATATGTTGTATAGTTGAGATAATTGGCACGAGATGAGTTTAAATGGCGTAATGTGGTCAAAGAGGATTCATTTAACTGACCCCGACTTGTTTGGGAATGAGTTATAGTTGTAGTAGTAGTTGTTGTTGTATGCTTATGGACATAGAGGATTTCAAGATCCCAAACTAGTTTGGGATTGAGGTGTAATAGATCATTGGTTGATACAGTTGATTTTGCATATATTGGATATAAAGGATTCATGTAGTGAACACTAACTAGTTTGGGATTGAGGTGCAATTGCTCTTTGATTGATATATTTGACTGTGTTATGGATATAGAGGATTTCCAAGTAGTCTGATATTGAGGTGTAATTGTTTGATTGATATAATTGGTGGTGTTTACGGATATGTAGGATTTTTCTAGGGATTAAGGCGCATTACGTAATTTGGTATTGAGGTGTAGTTGATCTTTGATTGATATAATTGACATTGTTTAGATATATAGAGGATTCATTACGGATTGAGGCGTGGTTGATCGTTGATTGATATATATATATATATATTTATAGGATTCTTCTAGGGATTAAGGCGTATTACGTAGTTTGGTATTGAGGTGTAGTTGATCTTTGATTGATATAATTGACATTGTTTACATATATAGAGGATTCATTATAGATTGAGGCGTGGTTGATCGTTGATTGATATAGTTGATTTTGCTTATGAATATACCAGACTCGTAGCCGACCCCAAATAGTTTGGGATGGAGGTGTATTTTTTATCTTTCTTTTATTTGAATAAGTAGGATTGAGGGGCAGTTTATTGGTGATTGAATGTGCTTATGGATGTAGGAATTCATATATTCGACCGTAAATAATTTGGATTGAGGCATAGTTGTTCGTTGATTGATATAGTTGGTTGTGCCTAATAAAAAAAAAATGATACGAGGCCTGACCAGCCAGCAGCCTCCACCCATGATTATGAAGCGGGCGATGAAGCTGAGCACAATTCTTTCTCTCTGCATGCCAAGATCCATCTCTGGTCCTACTCTTTCTCCTCTTACTGACTTAGATTCAGAATTCTCATTCTCATTACAATCAACTGGTGATTATCTCTCTCTTCCCTGGTATGATTCTGGTGATCAAATTCAGAACCCTACAGTAATTGAGACATCAAAATGGACTAAATTAGTCATGGGAAAAGCATGCAAGGCATTCGGAGTTAATTTCAAAGGGTTTGAACATGAAATCTTAGAGATGGTTCTAAGGATGGAGGAAAAGAGACAGCTTCAATTGAAAAACCAAAAGTCCAAAGAAGGAGAAAGAAAGTCAAAAAAGAAAGGGGAAACAGAAGTCAAAGAGGTTGGTATCCTTGGTGAATTATGATGGGAAAAAAAGAAGAACAAGGGGAGGAAATACCAATCTTTTTCTGGATGAAAACAAAAATCCTCAGTTGGAATGTGAATGGGTTGAATGACAACAGGAAATGGGATATTATCAAATCATTAGTAAGAGATTGGAAGCCGGATATTCTTTGTTTGCAAGAAACAAAGATTGAAGATTGGAATGGAATTCTAGCAAGGCAATTTTGGGGCAACAGATGGGTTGAATGGGCAGAACTCAAAGCCAGTGGCACTAGGGGAGGGATAGTTACGATGTGGGACAAAAGACAGTGGAACTGCATTGAAATCCAACAGGGAACTCACTCCATATCAAGTATGCTTGAGAACACACAGGAGAATTTCAGATTTTGTTTCACAGGGGTGTATGGTCCACACACAAACTGGGAAAGGGAAGAACTATGACATGAATTGGGAGCTGTTAGAGGATTATGGGATGAACAATGGGTGATTGGAGGTGATTTCAACGTTTGTAGATTTGAATGTGAAAGGCACAATTGTGTGAGAAGATCACGAGCCATGAGGGGATTCTCTGATGTCATCCAGGATATATGCTTAGTAGATTTAGGATCTATGCTTAGTAGATTTACCATTACTGGGAGCTTACTTCACCTGGTCTAGAGGGGAGGTTAATATCCAAGCCTCAAGATTAGATAGGTTCCTTATATCATCTGAGTGGAATGATATATTTCGAAAGATTAATCAAATTGCTCTTCCTAAAGTTATATCAGATCACAACCCTATCATGCTGGAGAGTGGGGATTGGGACTCTAACCCATCCTACTTTAAATTTGAAAACATGTGGCTCAATACAGAAGGTTTCCTGGAAAAGATCAAGATATGGTGGCAGAGTTATGATGTCAATGGCACTCCTGACTTTATTTTGGTGCAAAAATTGAAGCTCTTGAAGAAAGACCTTACTATCTGGAATAGAGAAGAATTTGGCAACATTGCAGTGAAAAGGGGAAAGGCATTAGAGGAGCTTTCTTTCTTGCAACAACAAA